GGACGTCGGGGTGCGGGGAGAGTCCGGGCTCCGCAGCCCCCGCTTCCTGGTTCGTGTTCGAAGACTCTCTCCTCGGGAACCTGTGCCGAGCCTGGCTGCATGCAGCGAGCGCGGGAAGCACAAACGTTCGGCTTGTATGCAAAAAAGGTACAAAAACAACTAGAATATAAAAGTTTTGGTAATATAAGGCCATCTGTTCAAGTCCACTGTGGAAACCTGTAACAGATATTTAAATACTACAGTGAAAAGGCATCTTAATATACTTTTTAAAAACATCTGAAGTAATCTGCTAATAAGTGTGTGTAAAAAAAAAAAAAATCAATTCCCTTTGAGGGCACTTTGTCCGCGGGAGGGGGGAGGCGGGCGGTTAATGCTTCAGCCAGGGGTAGGCCTCGATGGAGGCCCTGCTGCGGTCCCCGTAGTCGTACAGGAGCTCCTCCCCCGCCTCGATGTCGCGGGAGGCGATGAGGATGAGGTGAGGCACGCCGTCGATGTCGTGCAGTTTGGTTTGGCAGTTCCCACATTTGCTGTGATTGATCAGTCTTCCCAGGCGATTTGTCTCTCTCGTTGCATCCACGCTGGCGGGGAGGGAGGGCAACAGAGGATGATTAGGTTGATAAAGAGGCTTTTGAACGCAGCCAGGGTCACACGTGCTCTCAACTCTGGTAGGATGTCAATTTATGGCCATGCCTTTTGGGAAAACAATTCAACTAAAAAAAAAAAACCTTAAGAGCCTAGAGAGGCACGGGGTGGGGTGTCCCCGGCAGGGGGTGGGAGGAGACAGGAACGCAAAGGGCTCTTTGTGGAGGCTCGGGAGGCAACTGTAGAGCTCAGCACAATCAAGAAATGAATAGAAGTTAGTGGTGCTGGGAATGACGGAGGCCGTGCGTGTGCGTGTGCGTGTGCGTGTGTGTGGGGGGGGAGTATGGGAACTCTCTGTACCTTCCCCTCAGTTTTGCTGGTACCTAAACCTGCTCTAAAAATAAGAGTCTATTAAGAAACAACCCACAACAAAAAGCAATCCACTACACGGGCCATCTGGAGAGCGGAGCAGCCAGCCATTTCCAGAGCTGCCCTGGCCAAATGCCACGAGAGGAGGAGGCAGGTGAGCCTCGGAGCAGTGTTCACGTGACCAGTCCACGTCTGCACCCAGAGTTGGAAGGTGGGAAGGGGGTGGGGGAGAGCGGCTTCGGAGCTTTGAGAAAAGGCAGCAAGAACTCAACAGGAAGCCAGAGCCACAGACTCAGGTGTCCCTGGCCTTGGCCGCGCGGCCCGTCCTCTCTGCCATGCGCAGCACTCGTGGACTTACCAGTAGGTTTTGCTCAAATACTGGAAATAGTACATGTAGCAGCCGGTGGAGGGGTCTTGCGCATACAGAGCCTCCCGCTTCTTGGCGTCGGTGATCTCGATGAGGTCCCCGTGGTATTCCACCACAAAATCGCCCCGGGAGAACTGCTTGGTGGCGATCACGCCCCTGCCTTTGCCATCGATGAGGTCAATCTGTTGGGTGATGACAGAGAGGGTTAGTTCGTAACAGCCACAGGTGCCACGGTGCGAGGCCGGCTCAGGAGGCCTGGGGGTTGTACCTTCATTGGAACAGCTTTCTTGAGGTATGCCTCAGAGTTC